GGTCAATCTCCCTCGGTCTGGGGCTCCATGCAAGATCTCACCTCGTGGGGCATCAATGATCATGAGGAAGGTCAAGGATCAGCCCAGAACTACACGGCAGGACCTGGTCAATGACCTGAAGAGAGCTAGGACCACAGTCTCAAAGAAAACCATTAGTAACACACTACGCCGTCATGGATTAAAATCCTGCAGCGCACGGTCCCCCTGCTCAAGCCAGCGCTGTCACAATTCATGAATTCATTGTTTCCTTCTCGTCTCATGTCATTGTTGTTATGTGTGTATGTGTGTGGGCGTGACCGGTTCCATTCCTCTGATCAGCGACACAGTTGACTCTCGTTAGCACGCCAGCTGCGGCTCATCAACAGATCATCAACTCACTTTCAAATACTCACTGGTATACCTCGCATTCTGTCATGGCGAAATGCGAGGAAGCAAAACTGCGAGTGAAATCTCTCTTTATTAGTAACAATGAGTGAAGAAACAATCAGCAACACGATGGCGATGAGTGGCACAGGGACCTCGACGGACAACACAGATGAATGGTGGTGAAGTGAAGAATTCCGATGGTGAGTGAAGTAATCCAGACACAGAACAAGGAATTGCAACACCGAACGGAAACACCGATTCACGAACACCAGACAGCAGCACGGAACAGGACACAAGAGACAGCACGCGGAGACATCAATCAACGATCTGACAATGGAGAGGAGAAACCAGTGAGTATTTGAAAGTGAGTTGATGATCTGTGGATGAGCCGCAGCTGGCGTGCTAACGAGTCAATTGTGTCGCTGATCAGAGGAATGGAACCGGTCACGCCCACACACATACACACATAACAACAATGACACGAGACGAGAAGGAAACAATTAATTCATGAACCGTGAATGTCAAGCGCATGTCCAGGCCCGTCTGAAGTTTGCCAATGACCATCTGGATGATCCAGAGGAGGAATGGGAGAAGGTCATGTGGTCTGATGAGACAAAAATAGAGCTTTTTGGTCTAAACTCCACTCGCCGTGTTTGGAGGAAGAAGGATGAATACAACCCCAAGAACACCATCCCAACCGTGAAGCATGGAGGTGGAAACATCATTCTTTGGGGATGCTTTTCTGCAAAGGTGACAGGACGACTGCACCGTATTGAGGGGAGGATGGATGGGGCCATGTATCGCGAGATCTTGGCCAACAACCTCCTTCCCTTGTTGTATTATTTTCATGTTATCACTGTGAAGCTGCTTTGATACAATCTGTATTGTAAAAAGCGCTATATAAATAAAGGTGACTTGACTTGACTTGACTTAGTAAGAGCATTGAAGATGGGTCGTGGCTGGGTCTTCCAGCATGACAACGACCCGAAACACACAGCCAGGGCAACTAAGGAGTGGCTCCGTAAGAAGCATCTCAAGGTCCTGGAGTGGCCTAGCCAGTCTCCAGACCTGAACCCAATAGAAAATCTTTGGAGGGAGCTGAAAGTCCGTATTGCCCAGCGACAGCCCTGAAACCTGAAGGATCTGGAGAAGGTCTGTATGGAGGAGTGGGCCAAAATCCCTGCTGCAGTGTGTGCAAACCTGGTCAAGAACTACAGGAAACGTATGATCTCTGTAATTGCAAACAAAGGTTTCTGTACCAAATATTAATTAAACCTGTTAACTGGCACCCCCCTTTTTTTTGCATAGACATAAAAATCACTATCCAAACTTAAATGGTTGTAATTCAGGAATGCTTTGGAATATAGACCTATGGCTGGTCTTGTTTTAAAGAAGACATTTTCCAGATTATTGTAGAAGTCTAGAAATTGTAAAAAATGAAACAGAAAAAAAGTTATATAAGTTTGAGTTTATGAAATTGTGTAATGTAAAAATATAATGATTAATATTTTATATAAAATATATATATTACAAAATATATTTTACTCTAAAACTGCAAGAAAATTAAAGTCAAATATCTGAACAAGTTGTATTCCAAATTTTAGGTTGATATCTCAAAAAATGAGCTTTCAGTAAGATTTTATTCGGGCGCAGTACCCAACTTTTTCACTAGGTGAACACTAGACTCCATTACTGCCCATATAAGGGCGCCTCCATTTTCATATGTTTTGAGTGATCTGAACCATGTATTTCCATAATTTTCATACAATTTATGAAGTAGACATCCTATTCAGAAGTAGTATGGGTGGTTTGGCAGTATTTGATTTGAATTAAACCTCTAATAAATGCATAAAGACTACGTTATAGCGTTATAGCTCGCAGCCGCATTACAAATCGAGAATCCATAAATTTTTCTTTATATTTAAAACATTTTCAGACCTTTTTTTCTCATAAAATGGAATTGGTGTTATCTTTTGAACTCATGGCATGAAAACAAACTGAGGTTTCTACCAATCTTTCATGATTTTTCATGTTTATTGTTATTTCAAAATAAAGGCCTAAGTACTCCTAATGAATATGAAATATTCTTGTTGCAAATTGATAAATTTCTGCTCCTCTGTAATATATTTTAGATAACAGCCACCAAATATGAAAACTAGAGATTTTAAGCTTTCAAATGATATATAGTTTGGCAATATTACTTTAGGTTTTTACTAAGATATTATTGTTTTAAACATGCAATGGCAAATGGGCCCGCCGGCCCGCCCCACTGTATGTCTATGTGGTGTTTTTTTAATATGTTTTAAGATAAACCATGTGCAAATTCATAAGTCAACACCATTGCTGAGTATTTTCTCCTTTAAACTGCAGTGAACCAAAGTCTCAAAAATGCGGTTTGAAATCGCTGCTGTTTCTTACGTCACAAACTACCTTGTAACCAATCATGTCAATATGTGGGTGGGCTTTAGCATATCATTAACTGCTGCAAAGCATGGGAGTCTCAAGAGAAGCCAGATTATCCTGGTATATTTTTCTGCTGATATGAAAATTCAGGTACATTTGGCAATATAGCTGATGAATTATGTATATGATGTATTTTACTATGTTTTGATGAACTATATGCCTTTCTCCATTGATGTTCTTAGTTGTTCAAAATGTTTCTCTAAGGAAACTGATTTTTCGAAGGCAGCTGTCTGACTCTGAGGTGGCGAATGGGAACATGGTTTGTGTAACATTAGCAACACATTATTAGCTGTTTGATAACGTAGTCAAGCAAAAAGGCTAATCATATTAATTACTGTTGTTTCCGACGTTGTAAAGAGCAATACATAAAACGCATCACCATTCTGATACATCGATTTGTTTACGAGCCTGTATAATTCCACTTCTACTTCTGAATCAGTTTCTGGTTCAAACACACAGTATATGGCTGGATTAAACCAGTGTTTCCACTTGCCATTGTGCAGCGTTTACCTAAAGACTATAGATATAGAAAGGGTATTACCTCAGTAAAGTCGACTGAATCTCTGTGCTGGTGTGAGTGAGTGGAGGTGGAGCTATTTTGCATATTCATGAATCCGCGTATACTAAATAAAGTAAGGGTTTAGACTTAACTATGCAAATCATCAAATATGTACACCACTTGACACTTAATTTACGCCTCTCTTTATTTAAACATGACATTTTTCTCATGTCTTTGCAATTGCATTGCCTCTCCTATTTAGTTCTTTTGTACCACAACCATTAAAGTATTCCAACAGTAAGTGATCATTATTTTTCTATGAAACCTGTAAATTGTATTCACTGGATATAACAGTATAGTGATAATAACACTCCAATTATTTCATTATAATAAATATCACACTTAAGCCACTTTTCCACCATCGGGCCGGAATTTCTCGGCCCGGAATTCTCAGCATGGTTGGCTAACGCATATCAACACAAATTAATAAAAGTAAAATAAATATCTGATCATCCTCCATAACATGGCTGCTATTTACATCTCATATCGTCTTTAAACTCTTGCGTTATCAAGACAACGACTGATGCATTTGTATTACATTTCAAAGAGCTCCGTTATCAGCCCCACAGTGGAAAGTGAAACCATATCCGTACTGCCTGGGCCATATTGGCACAGAATGGATTACAAAGAGAACGGTTTGGTGTCTCTGTCAATACTCCATCCTCTATCTCTGTTTGAATGAGAGCTGTAATAAAAATACCAGTTATAACATTTGTACACATAAACATTCGTTAAAACATTTGTGAAACATCAGTAATTTTATGAGAGTATCAATCCTCTTTATACAATATCAGTATCACAAATATCCATACTTATTTCACACTTACAGCTGTGTGTCTAATCACTGAGACAAGAACGTTACTGACAGAATCAAAAACAGGTAGTCAGACGGAGCTTGCAACGCTTGAGTGTCCTTAACTTGGCTATTGTACATTGTGCCCATCGGCTCTCCAAACAGTAGGATGCCCAGGTGAGCACGGCTGGGTACATGTAGACCATATATTAATTTGTGTTGATATGTGTTAGACTCTCTGTGGTCACAAAAAATCCCAGGATGTCTTTCGAAAGAGTAGGGGTGTAACCCCGGCATCCTGGCCAAATTTGCCCAGTGGCCTCTGTCCATCATGGCCTCCTAATCATCCCCATATATATATACCAATTGGCTTCATCACTATGTCTCCTCTCCACCAGTAAGCTGGTGTGTGGTGGGCGTTCTGGCGCAATATGGCTGCCGTCGCATCATCCAGGTGGATGCTGCACATTGGTGGTGGTTGAGGAGATCCCCCCTTCTATGTAAAGCACTTTGAGTGCCAAGAAAAGCGCTATATAAATGTAATGAATTATTATTATTATTATCAGTCAGCTGCTTTCTCTTGCATTGTGGTCATGTTAAGTGGTGCATGGATATAGCGTGATCCTATACTCTAACGTTAGCCAAAGTATGTGGGAAAGAGACATTAGCATATCTACTTTAGTAATTGAAAAAATATATTAATCACAGATATTAACACAGCCTTTTAAATTGACAACCTTAATTTATCAGTAGAAGTGTATGTCGTTTTACAAAGTGCTTAAAAAACTAAAACATTTGTTTACTTCTTATTTCCATTAGGAAAGAAGTGCACCTACGGTCACAAGTGTAAGTTCTACCATCCAGGGCGTGGTACACAACCACAGCGAGCTGTGGCAGATGAGCTCCGGGCCAGTGCCAAGAGCTCCACAGTTAAAAGTCTGGGAGAGACATGTCTAGAGAAGAGTCACAGTGTGCCTGAAGGTTCCTGTAATGACAAAGCCGCTGACAGTAGACAATCTCATCCAAAGAGGCAATCTGACCCCAATATCCGTGCCCTCTCTTACAGTGATGTGGAGGATAAGCTGTGTTCAAAAACCAAAGCAGACCTGTATAAGAGCAACCTAGCTCTGCCTCCAGCTCAAGGAGGTCCTCCTTTATCTCATGGGCATAGCCAAGACTTAAAGGATCACATTATTTGTTTGTTGAATAATCAGGAAGGTCCATCGTTGTCTCATGCAGAGCCCCACAAAACCTGTGAGTCTCCAGAACTGTATTACTCCATGGTTAGGGCATATTCTGGCCTAAGCCTGCCCTCTCAGAGGAGTCCAGAGCGTCACTTCTTGTTCGATGCTGACCCACGAACCAGCTCAGTGGCATCAGACTGCAGCAGCGATGGCAGCATGAGCTCAGATTCTTATGGCATGGCAACCCACACCGAGCTTTCTTGCATGAGCTCTCCTGATTTGTTACTGGATGAAGGTATGAAGTGTCATCACCACTATCATCATCGTAGAAATTACCAGTTACTCCCTGTTATTCCTCGAGGGTGCATTCTCTCCCCTGCTACATCTAACCACCCTGGATTCCACCACAGCATACTTAGTGTTCATAGCTTTGCTCTAGAAGATCAGCAAGACCCACACTTCCAGCACTCCTGCATGTCTCCACAACTCCAGCATCAAGTGGTAGGTGCTCGCTCAGGCTGTCCTCAAGACTACCCTCCTCTCTGCCAGGGGAACACTCACTCCCAGAACTCTCCACTGGGCTGTGGCCTTACCTCAACACGTGTGGAAAGTGTGTCAGACTCTAGACTTTATGAGCACTCTCCATTACTGCCTAGAAAACCCTACTTATCCCAAGAACGAAAGACCAGTTGGGATCCATATTACAGACAACACCCACAACCATGCTACGAGCCCTTGAGCTTCCAGGAAATTTCAAAGAACCGTGAACAGATGTGGCGGATGCCATGGGACTTTCGCTCCACTCCACCCCCACATTCGTCCCATCTGCCCCACATTTCATCACACCAGCACCAGGAGCCACTCGCCTCGAGTCGTTACCAGGAAGTACGAGAGAAAGTATTTACCAACCTGTGCAACATTTTCCCCACTGAGCTAGTCCAATTGGTCATGGGGTGGTACCCTCATGTGACTGACGCCCAGCAGTTGGCAGCAGCCATCTTGGCAGAAAAGAATCATGCTGAATACTAAGTGCTGATGTGTTAAAAGGATACTGCATCCAAAAATGAAAATTCTATGTTACAGTGTGTTTAATAGGAGTAAATTATGTGAGAATATACATTTTTGAGTGGAGTATCCTTAAACTGTGACTTTCTTTGCCAGCTTCTTGCACCCAAATGAAATTGAGGTAGCTGGAGTGAATGATCAAATCTATTTAATGTTAACCATTGCATTAAAAGTACCATGTTAAATATTTACTTTTGATGGGCTGACCTATGGGAATACAACTTTAAAAGTAATTTGTCTACCAGAGGTGTGAATGTTGTGAAGCATGTGATATTTATTTTCTGAAATATTTTACTTTGTTAATGATTGTGTTCAGGCGAGCATGTAATGAATCACAAGGCACTTTCTATTGCTGTTTATCAAAATGCAGTTTGGTAACTTACAGCAATCAAACAAGAGGAGATGGAATGTCAGAGTATTTGTAGGTGTAGATGGTCTACAATGGAATATATTAGGACAACTTTTTGAAACAATGTATATTGTTAAAAGTGCTATACAAATAAATTAGACAAAAATAGATTTTTGAAGCATTACATTGCATTCAACAGATCAAGACATCAGTTAAATTAAATCCATGGGACTCTGTTTTCTAGAATGTCCATTATGACAAGAATATCTTTGGCAAGACAAAATAGTTTTACATATCTGCTCATATTATTTCTGGAAGATAATTACCTGTCAAATTTAGAGGTTATATAATGAAAATAGCTTTATTTATTTACATTTTCTTTGCAGGTGATGGGTTCAGAATTGTAGCCATAATTCTGCAGTTCTTTGCCTTTTCCTACTCTTTCTGATGTAATGCCAACTCTCACTTGAATTTGTCTTTGTCTTTTTTTATTCTTCTTCTTGTTACTTTTTAATCACTTTTTTCCGTAATCTAGTTATATTTAAATTTGTAATGGTTCTTTATATGCAAAAGTGGCTTGTCCAGCAAAGTAACTGTTTGTATTGCCAATTTTATTATTATTTATTAATTGCTTTGTGATGTTTTATTATTTTACAGATAGAAAAGCTTAATCAGGAATGTGTGAGGGTGTGCTTGCTTGTAATTTGGGAAGTGGGCTAGGGTATTATATAGTTCTGTCAGTGTTGTAATAGGATAAATGGTCTGAATATAGCTGAATATATGTGTAAAGTAGTAAAGACAGGTGCCTCAAGCTTATGTCAATGAGGAACATTTATGGCTTAGCTTATGGGTGCATGTTACTGTAAGCCAGTTGTATCCTGCTCTTACTGAAAGCAACTGAGGTTAAGACCTGATTGGGTGCAGATTCCCTTTTTAAAGCTGCAGTCCGGCGTTTTTCCTCTTTGTCGCCATCTCTGTTCGAAATCTGCAATTGCAGTCATTCGCGGAATTATCAACTTTACTGTTGTACTGAACACTGGCTGGTTATGTATTTTCTCAAATATGTATTTTGGATAATTTTTAACCCCAAAGAAGCTACGGACTGCAGCTTTAAATTATGTTTTCCTTATCAGGCATGAATTATTTTAGAATTGTTTACATTTGTATGTGACCCATGGTAGCCAGAGAATACCTGTCCTTGCTGATACAAATTGTATCTTTTTAACTTAAAACCAGAGATGTTTATATACATTTGATCTATGGAAAAGTATATTCACACACAAAGTTTTTTACAATAGGTAGTACATGTATAAAATAAGAAATATTTTTGGGCAACATTTTATCAAAAAGATTGATGGTACTATAGTAATTAAGGAGTTTCTTTATTTTATTTTAAAGCAAGAGTAAAATATTTACTGTAAAATATTATTTCTTAAATTCAAAATGTTGCAGATGAAATACAACACAGATTGGGGAAACTTAAGCATTGCTATTTTTTACACAGTTCTGATGATTTGCATGCTATTGCTTCTGCTCTTGTTCTATTAAACCTTTTTTTTTATCTGAAATATAAATTTAAACTAATCATTTTTAAAAACTACCACGGCAGATGTAGACAGATACAATTTTGATATATTTAAGAGGACTGGGTTTAAGGTAATTAAGTGAGCTTTTGTAAGCTATGGGGATAAAATGCTGCCTGAAATATGTTTGTTATAGGAATACCTTTTATTTCATTTTAGGAAAAAAGAGCCTTCCCTTTGGCCTTGTGGCACTGTGTGCCATTGTTAGCTGTTGTGTGGGCATAGAGTATTTGCCACTACATGGCATTGTGCTTAAGACACATCTGAATAATCTGAACCATGTTCAGCCAACAAGTTTTCAATTATATAAGATGTTGACAAGTTTCCGTTTTTCTTTTGGTGTGTGTACTATCAATCCAAGGAAGTATAGCAAATGCTTCCAAGTACATGATATGCTACATTTAGGATTAATTGTGGATAATGTTCCCTTTCGTTAGGGAACTCCTATGTCTCGTCGGAGGAGTTTCCAACAAATTGGGATCACGCTAGGGAGACCAATTGCCTTCGAGTGAATTAAAAACGAGCCAATGAATATTGGCATGCAGGACTTGCATTCCGCGCCCCACCTGCCAGTGCGGGTATAAAGCGGAAGCGAGCGCATACACATATGCTTTTAGCTTCGGAGCCGACCGGTGTGTCCTCTGAGTGGATGAGCTTCAAGATTAGTAATTTATCTTCACGCTCAACGAGTCTGCTGTTTTCTCCGAGACCTCTCTGTGTTGGTGTGACGGCGCTTCAGCGATCTTCGCGATCTGCCGGGTACCGGCTGTTGCTTCACGCGATTTGCCTTTTTTTCAAAGAGCTGTTGTCACAGCTGGTATTCGGTTGAGTGTGCACAGCGGGCTTGCAGTTTCCCCGCTGTGTTGCCGCGTTTATCCCTGTGTGCTTCAGCACAATAAGAGAGCGTTTTCTGTGAAAAGAGCAACACGGGTGAAGATCGCGTCCTTTTCAGGATGACGTTTCACCCGTGTGTTTCTGGATGCGGTCGTTTCCTGTCCTCATTTGACGGCCACGATCACTGTTTCGCGTGCCTGGGCTTAAGCATGTTGAGACTGCGTTCGTGGGTGGTTTATGTTCTCTCATGAGAGCATGATCACGTCGGCACGTTGTTCGTCTCCCCTTTCTCGTAAGGGCTTGAGCCGCTCAGCGTGCCGTGTGCCGTCGAGCTGCCGGCTGACAGCGCGGGTTGTAACGGCAACCCAGCGCGCGTCAGTCGGCGCTCTAGATGCGCGCCTTTGACTGTTCCCCGATCTAGTTCCTCTTCTGGTGGCCAACGGTGGAGGGCTATTTTGGTTAATAGCATTGGTGATTAGAGGATTACAGTGAGTGTTCTCTGACGAGACCACCTCCTCGGAACCCTCACTCCTCTAGCGCATCGCAAACATGCTGAGACTGTGTTCGTGGATGGTTTATGCTCTCTTACGAGAGCATGACCACGTCGGCGCGTTGTTCGCTTGCCTTTCTCGAGGGGTTGAGCGCTCAGCGTGCCGTGTGCCATCAAGGTATGGCCACGTTCACTGTTTTGCATGCCTGGCAGCTTTCGGGTGGAATCTCTGGTCCTTCTCATGAGGGACCAGCTATTTCATTCAGGGCACCAGGGGAGGATCAGATGTCGATCGCTGCATCGGAGAGAGGGCTGTTACACTCTGGAAATGATGACGCTGAGTTCCCACTGTAATGGTGTGTGTGCTCATGCTGAATCAGATTCAGACTTGACAGCCACACTTCCCGGGCTACTCTGGGGGCGCAGTGCAACGCGTAATTGCCTTGCCCCGCCCCCGTGCCTGCCCGGATGCGTGTGAAAGAGCTTTTAGCAGTATGGAAGCATGTTGGTGCTGTGGAAAGCCAAACATGCCAAAATCTGCAGAAAGTTTTTTCCTCTCTCACTACCCTTAGTGGTTTGACTACACAGGGGTAGTTCTAAGTCGGGGTTGAGCTGTGCAAGTTATAGCACTGGCCCTCGGTCAGACGATGTCCACACTACTGGTCCAGAAGCATCCCACGGCTAAACCTTGTGGAGTACGAGACATCGCCAAAGTTCGCTTTCTCGGTGCTCCTATCCCACAGGGTTTGCCGTTTTCGGCGACACTGTTGGAGACTGTGCCCAGCGGATCTCCACAGTTCAGAAGCAGGTTGAGGAGGCCAGGAGCTGACCCGATATGCTGTCAACTCATTCCTGGTTTCTCCTCAGTCTGTTTGTCGCCAAGGGTGTCAGCCCCCTGTGAAAAAGATGTCAGCCAGCTTTATGGTGACGTCTAGCTTTCGCAGGAGGATGGCGCCACCTGTCTCAGCAGCCCTGAGACGGGTGACAAAGGGTTGGAGGAAGTTGCTCTCAGGGAGATGGTGTCCTCACCTCTCCCGCCCCCGGAGGAGGGCCGGGTGGAGAATTTGTTCAGTTTCTGTTCCGCTGCTGGCTCCCTGAGTCCAGTGGTACCCACTTTTTCAATAGAGCAATTTCTTCCATCTCTGGGTTACAAGAGGTGCGGACTGCAGTGAGCGACGCTCCCATGCCTCGCCATTCCTTCCCCCCTCTTCCAGCACTCAGATGGCAGCACTCTACGGCCTCGTCACTCTCGCCTGTCGCTGGCCAAGGAGGCGCGGAAGCCAGGACTCGACGCCCCCGGGCCTCGCTCCTGGTTTCCCCTCCTAGAGGGTGAGAATGACAGTGCGCGCCGCCACGTTGCCTCGCTGCTCTCATTCCCCTCGCCCCAGCGCTCAGATGGCAGTGACGCCGCTACGGCCTCGTCGCTCTCGTCTGTCGCTGGCCAAGGCGCTCAGATGCCAGTGTCGCCGCTACGGCCTCCTCACTCTCATCTGTCGCCGGGCAAGGAGGCGCGTAAGCCAGGACTCAACGCCCCCCAGCCTCGCTCCTCGTTTCCCCTCCTGCCTCGGGACAGTCAGCAGTCGAACGCCCCAGAAAAAGATGTGCCTTCCCTGCTATTTGCCCCCCGGTGGAGGCAGGTAAGTGTTGCACCACACACACAGACCCCACCTTCGGCCGCAGCAATGCCTCCGAGGGCGGGTCCCTGCCTTCCACCTCGCTGCCCCTCCGCGGGTACGCCGGTGGTCCGA